GGATAGGGCAGTGTTCAGACCGACTGTTCATGGTGTTACTATGAGTCATACTTGACTTAAGCACACACAACAACAACAATAATACACATACTAGAGAGTTTTGGTGACCTAGTTGTTAGAGTTGTGCTGCCAACCTAAAGGCACACAGGATAAATTCACCACCTGTTCTGCAGAAGAAAGATGGGTAAGCTCTTTCTATACAACTTACAGAACCTGAAAGTCTGATGGAGGGTAAACTATGAGTCAGTTCCAATTTGATGGCACATAACATGGACTTTCATCTGATGGACAGATTGCACAGGTTTAAGATTGGCTACATTTGATGCTTTATATCAGCAATCAAAGCAAGGTCAGGGGATGACTGTGGAATACATCATCAGTTACTCATGCACAAATTCAAATTGATGCTGAAGAGGAAAACGAGTCCACTTGAACTGAATATGATCTGAATTTAAAAATCATCTCGAGGAAAACGAGTCCACATGAACTGAATATGATCTGAACTGAATATGATCTGAATTTAAAAATCATCTCAAGAATAGATTTGGTGCCTTGAACACTAATGACTGAAGACCAAATGAGTTGTGGGAGGACATCAAGGACATCATCCACGAAGAAAGTAAAAGGGCATTGACAAAGAGAGATGAAAGAAAGGACCAAAATGGATGTCAAAAGAGACTCGAAACTTGCGCTGGAATGTAGAAAGGACGAAGCAAAGGGAAGAAATACTGAAATAAGAGATGAACAGAAGACTTCAGAGAGGAGCTTTGTGAAGACCAAGCAAAATATTAAAACAAAATATGCAAAGAACTGGAATTAGAAAACAAATAGGGGAAAAAAAAAAAAGAAAACAAATAGGGAGGAACATGCTCAGCATTTCTCAAGCTGAAAGAATGAAAAGAATAAATTAAAACCAAAAGTTGCAACACTGAAGGATTCTATGGACAAAATATGAAAAGAAGTTGGAAAGAGTACATCATCGAATCAAAAAGAATTGATTGACATGGAACAATTTCAGGAAGTGGTACACGATCGAGGCAATGGTACTCAAAGCAGTAGTTCAAGTTGCACTGAAGGCACTGGTAAAAAAATCAGGCCCCAGTAATTGATGGAATATCAACTGACAAGTTTCAACAAAAAGACGCAGCTCTGGATGTACTTAGCAGTCAATAACCAAGAAATTTGCAAGAACAAAATGATTGGAAAAAATCCATATTCACTTTAAAAAAAATCAAGCTCTCCAATAGAGTGTGGAAATATCATTAATATCTCATGTGAGTAAAATCTAGAGCAGTGTATCAACAGGGAACTTTCAGAAATCCCAGCTGGATTCAGAAGAGGCTGTGTAAGTAGGTATATCATTGCTGATGTCAGATGGATCTTGGCTGAAAGTAGAGAATAGCAGAAAAATGTGGATTTGTGTTTTATTGACTATGCAAAGGCCTTTGGGTGTGTCATAACAAATTATGGGTAATATTGATAAAAATGAAAATCTTAGAACATTTGTATTCATGTGAAACCTACAGACCAAGGAGAAGATGTACAAACAGAACAAAGGAACAAACACTGCATGGTTTAGAATCGGGAAAGGCATACACCAGAGTTGTAACTTTTTTCCAAACAAATTCAATTTGTATATTGAGCAAATCATTCCAGAATCTGAACTCTATGAAAAAGATTGTGACATTACGGTTGGAGGAAGACTCAACAACATCCTGTGTTAAGCAGATGACAGAAACTTGTTTGCAGAAAGTGAAAAAAGACTTGAAGCACTTAACAAAGAAGATAAAATACTATGGTCTTCAGTGTAGACTACACCTTAACGTTAAGAAAACAAAAATCTTCATCACTGGACCAACATCCTGATAGATAAAAGATGGAAGTTGGCAATGATTTCATTTTACTTGGGCTCACAATCAACACTTGGTAACAGTAGTCATGAAACCCAAAGATACATTGCATTGGGAAAATCTACTGTGAAGTATCTCTCCAAAGTGCTAAAGAGCAAGGATGTCAGTTTAAAAACTAAGGTGCACCTAATCCAAACCATGGCATTTTCAATTGTTTCCTATGAAAATTGAGCAATGAATAAAGAACATCAAGGAAGAATTGATGCCTTTGAATTGTGGTGTTGGGAAAAAAGTATTAAATATACCATGGACTGCCAAGAGAAAAATAAGTCTGTCTTGGAGGAAGTGTATCCAAGGTGTTCCTTAGAAAAGAGAATGGTGACATTTCATCACACATACTTCGGGCATGTCAGGAAGGGCCAATTCTTGGAAAAAGACATCATGCTGGGAAAAATAGAGAGGTTCAGAAAGAGAGGAAGACCCTCAACAAGGTGGCCTGACACAGTGGTGATGGACTCAAGCACGTCAGAGATGGTGAGGTTGGTGCAGGATAAGGCGAAGTTTCAATCTTTTGTTCAGATGGTCATGAGAGAAGTCAGTCATAGTGAACTGATGCTTAACACCAACAGCAACAAGGTTATGCATTACTAAAAAAAGACATAATGAGCTTTGACTTAGTAATCATGGTTTAGAATCAGGAGAGGTGTCCATCAGGGTTGTATCAGGAAGGGTGTGCATCAGGGTTGTAAAAGGAAGGGGGTACATCAGGGTTGCCCAAAGGCACATAGTTTCAATCCACTTGTTGCTTCCTGGGAGAAAGTTGGGCAATTTTCTCCTGTGGGACTTACTGCTTCGGAAAACCCTCTGGAGAGTCCACTATGAGTCAGTTCTGACGTGATGGTACATAGCAGCAGCAAAAACAACAAAAACCCCATCATGCTGGAAAAGGTAAAGGGTCAGAAAGGAGAAGGACCTTCAATGAAATGACTGACACAGTAACTGCTACAATGGATTCGAGCAGGGCGGAGACCGTGAAGATGATGTGGGCTAGAGCACGGTTCCAATCTGTTCTTTACGGGGTCATTTGAGTCATAGTTTGATCCAAAGGCACCTAACAACATACATTGTCATTAACTGGATGACACCTAACAACAATAAAAACAATCAAGGATTCTTAAAACGTGCGTAACATGGATGGACTAGAACAATTGACACTGAGTGACATAAGTCAGTCATTAAAAGACAATGATGGTTTAAGGTCACTATTACAAAAGTGAAAGAAAGTTTACACCCAAAAGAATTAATCCTTAAGAGGGTTAATAGGGCTGGATAGGGAGGGAGATGGGGTAAAAATGAATAAAAAAGATAAGCTGAGTGGAGGGAAAGACAACGTACTATAAGGGGTTGATTGTGTTGGTGGTGGTGGTGTTGAGTACCATTGAGTTGGAACTGACCCATAGCTGACCCTCCAGCAGGTCTTTCAAAGGCAGTAAATCACACGGGAGGAGATTGCCCATCCTTCTCCCGAGGAGCAGTTGGAGGATTTGAACTGAGTGCCTTCTGGATTGCAGTGCAGTTTCTCAAAACTAGACCATCAGAGCTCCTGAAGGGGTTGATTAGACAGTGTAATAAATTAATTACAATAATCAATTGTAATTAATGTTATAAAACAAAATGTCTATGAATGATTGAATGACATTCCAAAATGATCTGTAAACTGTCATTTATAAAAAAAAACATAAGTTTGGTGAGCTCTGGTGGCCTAGTGGCAAGAAGCTGCACTGTAATTCCAGAGGTGTGTGGTTCGGATCCATCAGATGCTCTGCTGGAGAAGGAGAGACAATCTCCTCCTGTACCAGTCATTCAAGATCACACAGGCGGAAGTGACCAACTCCAGAGCTCCGGCCTCTTAACTGCACCTCACAACCTCCCGCAGGGATAGCAAACACCTGCTTCACCTACCAGGCCTCTGCCTCAGCCAACATTAGCAGAGGCTCCCAGCACTCCTTCCTGCTGGTCTTGTGGTGACTCGGAGTCCTCTTCCTCACAGAGCTCACAAAGCTACCACCACCTGACTGGAAGTGGCCTTTGAGTGGACACTCATTTCCTATTCCAGGTGTAAAATACTAACAGTGCCTATCAGAGGCCTCACAACTGGTTCCACAGCACATGGGGCTTGAGGCCAGCACCCCCACGGAAGCCGCAGCCAGGAAATCAAACAACGCATTGCCTTGCATGGCATTGTGCAAATCTGCTTCGAAAGGGACCTTTTTGAAGTGTTGAGGTACAGAGGGGTCACTTTAAGGACTAAGGTGCACCAGCCTCAAGTCATGGTATTTTCAGCTGCTTCTTATGCATGCAAAATGAGGACGATGAATAAGGAAGACTGAAGAAGAACTGATGCCAGTGAATGACAGTATTGGTGAAGGATACAGAAAATACTGCAAGAAGCAGCAGCAAGTCTGTCTTGGAGGAAGGGCAGCCTGAACGTGCTTTGAGGCAAAGATGGTGACAGTTTATCAAGAGAGGCCCGGCTTTGGAGAAAGAGGACCTCATTCTTAGTAGAAGATCAGCGAAAATGATGAAGCCCCTCGGTGAGCTCTGGTGGCCTAGTGACAAGAGGCTGCACTGCAATTGTAGAGGTGAACAGATCGAATCTACCACATGCTCTGCAGGAGAAGGAGGGACAATCTCCTCCTGTAGCAGTTAGATCCGATTTCATGGTACACAAACAAAATAATATTAATTAAAAAAAAGAGCAAGCCCCTCAACGAGATGGATTGACCCAGTGATTGCAGCGCTTGGCTCAAACAGCAATGACCGTAAGGATGGTGTAGGACCAGGTGGTGCTTCATTCCATCGAAACAGGCTCACTGTGAGTCGGAACCTACTTGATGTGTAAACAACAAAGGCCCAGAATATCATTCTTATTTCTTAAGTGTTCCTTCCCCAAAAGAGTTTGTGCTGACAGGTAGGATGCGAGCTAATCCCGATTTGAGCACTTATATGGAGCACATCACACCCCTTCTTTAGGCCTCAGTCTTCCCAATGTGCAAAACAAGTTGGTACAATGAGATGATGCCAAGCCAAAGAGTGGCTGCTTTTGCATGTCTGGCTTCACGCCGAGACGGAGCCTAGGGGAGCACTCACTCTGACTGGCCGTGTAGACACTGTCAGTGGCGATGGGCTCTTGCTTCACAGTCTGGGAGCTGGAGGAGAACTCGGGCAGACAGGGCACGAGAGAGCCCAGCACCAGAACGAAGCACAAGGCTGCCACCTGGAAGTTGAGAGCCAGCAGGGGTCAGATCTGGACAGGGAGGGCTGCAGCCTAAGTCACCCCAGCAATCCTCCCCCAAAACGAACAGGTGGAAAAGGCTTGGAATTTTTTGAAGTAAGTGACTTCTGGTGCCATCCACACCCTAGATGTGGGGGGTCACTGCATACTCAAGAGAAGGGGAAGGCTGCTTAGACCATTCTGATCTCTGCCACAAAGAAAAAGAGGGTTCTCAACTGGGGGAGGAGGGAGCAATCAGGAAAAGGAAGGCCCAGGTGCAGGCGGAGGCTGGGAGAAGGGAAGGGGCCATAACGTCATGTTAGGCTCTCAGCAGAATTTCCAGGGTAAGAGGCCAGAAGGGAGGAGGTGAACGTCACGGACACCAGATTCTTGCCATCTGACATGAGAAGTCTGGAAGGTTCTGGGGCACCCAGATGGCAAGAATTCAGGGGCAGATGAACAGGGACCGGCAGAGACTTGTCATACCATGGACACTTTTTTTGAATTCTAGGAATTTACTCAGCCTGTGATTAGACTCACCATTGATTCTGGAAAGAATCAAGATTATACCTCCCTGCACCTTCCCTTGGAGTCTACAGAAGACACTTCCTCAGGGGACCGTCTCCACCATTCCCTGGCTGAGGGATCATGGCAGTCATAGAATGAGGGGAGGCTGTGTTCTGGAACGTGTCATGGGCCTGGAACCACCCCACGGGCACTAGGATAGTTTAAGCTGGTGATGTTGCTTGCCCACATTACCAATCCCTCAAAGCTCTCTGCCTGCCCACCCAGGGAAGCAGCCTGGGGAAGAGTTGTCCTGGACCCCGGGGTGAAGGGAACAGCACCTACCATGAGGCAGGTCCCTGTTTGGGTGGCAGCCATCTTGTAAGGTCTGGAGATCTTGCTGGTCACCAGGGTCTGGAGTTTCTGCAGCTGTTGGAGCAGGGTCCTGAGGAGGGCACAGCTGTCACCCGCAGGCTCTGACCCAGCAGGCATCTCAGCCCCCTGGAGCTCTCCTGGGGAGACCTGGCCTAGCTTTAGACTTGGCCTCCACACCAGGTGGCCGACTCAGTATAGACAGGAAAGGTCACCTCCTGCATGGCTCATCTGTGGAATGGCTAGGGCTCCTGGGGCCTGCCTCATGGTGATGACCTTGGCCACCCTGTGGGAGCATCTGTGATGCTCTTGGCCAAGGCAGGTGAGGGAGGGAGTCTACCACCACCGATAGGGGCTGTGTTCAGACTTCTTTCTTTACCACACATACACCAATGACAGATAAAACAGCACAGATAAAAGACCTGCTGTGGGAGCAAGGCTCTTTCTACCTCACATTATCCTGGGCTGGTAATGCAGGGGCAAGCTGGCGTAGTGTCTAAGGTGTCAGACAACCCTCCTCAAACTCATTGGTGTGAGAGTTGGAACTGACTAGTAGCTTCAAAAGTTTAAACTGCATGGTTTGAAGTAGGAGTGGCATCCACTTCCTGAACAACATGCATCTGGAAATTTTGTGGCCTTTAGAAAGGCTTCAGGCCTTTTGCTCATAGAGTTGCTATGAGTCGAGCTTAACTTGACAGCAATCAACAACAGCAACAACAACAACAAACAGCATGGGAGGAGATTGACCATCATTCTCTCAAGGAGCAGCTGGTGGGTTCTAACCACCAGAGTGAAGAGGTCTTTGGTTAGCAGCACAACGACCAATATAGTGAGTATTCTGTGACTGTTATTGTTGTTGTTGTTATGTGCCGTAGAGTCGTAGAGTCGTTTCCGACTCATAGCGACCCTATATGCACAACAGCCCTAAACCCTGCTCTATCCTGCGCCAACCGCACCGCCTCTGACACACCCATCCCGATTACCCCAGTCACCGAATCAATCCATCTCATAGAGGGTCTTCCCCTCCTGCGCTGTCCCTCCACCCTCCCAAGCATGATGTCCCTCTCCAAGGACCCGTCCCTCCTGGCAACATGTCCAAAGTATGTCAGACAAAGCCCCAGAATCCTTGCCTCCAAGGAGCAGCTTGGTTTAATCCTCTCTACGATGAATCTGTTTGTTATTATTTGTGTTCATTTTATTGCTGTTTTACTTTTGGTCACAGTGCAGGTAAGTTTTTTAACGGATAGAATTTCTATGTTGGTCTCCTCCCTTAACTGGGGGGCTCTCTGAGGGAGAGAACGGGCCCCCGCACGTGGTGTATTCCTCGCAGTACACACAGGAGAAGCTCAGTGGGAGCTTGGTGAGTGTTGAACCATTACTGTAGTCCATCCAGGGGCAACAGGTGGGACTTGCAGTTCCCAAAATGAACAGCAGGTGGCGAGATAACACCAAGCGCCAGGCCCTGTGAAAGGCTGGAGCGGAATCTGGGCCAGAGGCGTTAAAGGGGTGTCCCAAGAAGGAGGCTCTGATCCCTTCACTTCACCCAGGCCCCTGGGACAAGTTTCTAGGTGAATCAGGGCAGTAGCTGGATCCCCTTGAAAGAGCCCAGGGTGAAGGAAAGAAAGAAAAAGTACACTTTGAATACTACTATATAAATCAGCCTATGGTCTATGTTATTTTAATTAATCCCAGCAAATAATTACTGAAGACCTGCTGTGGGCTTGAGGCTAGATATAAAAAAAAAATCAGAATAACGACAACCATCACAACAACAACAAATAAGAGGGGAAAATGTTACCATGAACTGAGCATTATGAAAAGCCAGCCTCGTGCTGAGACTTTGATTTATACATTCTCATTTAAGCCCAAAAGATAGCGTTTCCATTGTCCCATTAGGACAAAGAAAATCGAGGCGCCGAGAGGCTTAATAATTTCCTCTGATCACTCAAATGGCAGAGCGGAATAAGAACCCAGAGCAGTGCAGACACCTATCTCCCACGTGCCAGGCAAGGGCTGGGCTTCTCATCACTCCTGCTTCTCAAACCTCCTTGGGCCCACAGGTCACCTGCTGGTCTTTCTAAGCAGCAGATTCTAGCTCAGTGCACTGGTGACTGTCCTAACTAGCTTCCAGGTGTGGCCTGTGGGGAGCTTGCTGTGGGTGGCAAGGCTCTGTACCAGTGGTTCTCAGACTTTAGGGTGCATTAGTATGACCTGGAGGTCTTATTACAACACAAATTTCTGAGGCAATCCTAGAGTTCATGGTTCTAGAAGCATTTCTAGCAAGTTCCTAGGGGATGCTGATGCTGTGGGCCTGGGCACCTTGCTCGGCTCACCTCTGTTGGCTATCACAATCTCATTGAAGACTCTCACCAGGCCTGCCTGCCGTCTCCAGTATCATGCAGCAGGGAGGACACGTGCAGGGGAGGATGGGAAGACAGGGAGAGGCAGGCTGGAAGAGTTCTTAGGCTGTAGGATCCCTGGCCTTTACCATCTGGAACTCAGTCTTCTCTCCTTGCTCCTGCCTCCCAGTGCTATGCCAGGGCCTATCTTAGGGGCCAGCTGAAAAGGGCATAGGGAGGGAAGTACGGAGGAGGCTTCACCCACCTGTTGGCATTCTCCAGGGTCTCCACCTTCTTCCACAATTCATTGTTTTCAGATGTAAATGTTTCCACCCTGTGGAGGTCAAGCAGGTTCAGGGTCAAGGGCAGCCCTACAACTCACCACTGTTCTCTCAGCCCTGTCCATGTCTGCCTGCCCCAGTGTCCCAGGTCCCCTGCCCCACTGGCCCTGCCTGTGGCGTCCCAGGAGAGGCCTGGGGAGTGGGCTCAGATCCTTCACTGGTCCTGAGATGCTTACTTCTTTTCTAGACACTCCACATACTCCTTCTTCTTACGGCGACTCTCCTGTGCTGAGATCTAGAAAGGGAGGCCCCCAAACAGGGGTAATTACTGTCACATAGCCACATCCTGGGATCCCCAGTTTTGGGGTTGGCATCATCAGGGAAGCAGAGGCTTCATCTTCCAAAGAACCCCCGAGGTCTTACCTTGTTCTTGATTTTCCTCCGGACCCTCTTCAAGGCCTTCTCCTCTGCTTTGGTGAGGGGGAGTTTCGTGGGGATGGGGTAGCCCTCCGCGATCAGGGTCCTCTTCTCCTCCTCTGTCAAAAGCAGTGGCCCTGACGTCCCCTGTAACTTCTGTAGGAAGTAGGACACGTGGTTGGGAGCTGGGCAGACCAGGGTTCAAGGTCAAGCTCTGCTGTTTCCTAGCTGCAAGGTACTCAACTCTAAGGGGCAGATGTGAATAAAACCCAATAACAAGTGTCAAAAATGCCCTTAGGGATTGTAAAATTGTACAACCATTCTGGAAGGCAGTTTGGTGCTTCCTCAAAAAGCTGAACCGAGATCCTTTTCTGGTTCATAAGCATGATGATTGCGTGTTCGACATGTGCCACCCTTTAAACCTTGTTATGACATAGACACATTACCCATCGTGTGTGTGTGTGTGTGTGTGTGTGTGTGTGTGAAGCTGAACATAGAAATTCCCTATGACCCAGCTATTCTGCTTGGAATGTACCCTGAGAAAATGAGAACTGAGGCACAAATGGAGACTTATACACCAATGTTCATAGCAGTGTTATTCACCATTGCAAGAATATGGAAACTGGAAACAGGCCAGATGTTCAACCACAATTGAATGGATTGAGAAATTATGGTACATTCACATGATGGAGTACTACGCAGCACGCAGGAGCAATGATTTTGTAAATTTTTACCTAACTTGGAAGGGACTAGAGAGCATTATGCTGAGTGAACTTACTCAGTCCCACAAGGATAAATGTTGCATAAAACTATTATTATAGAATGAGTATGAGGATCCAAGGTGGGGGGACAGAAGCAGAGGGATGAGAAGGTGCAGGGTTGGGGGAAATTAATCATAGGATCATGGGGTTGCATAATTTGATGGGTGGGGATGAGGGAAATTGGAAAAATCTGGTCTGAAAAACAATGTATTCAAATTTTGTAAATAAATTAGTGTTTTGTTTTTATTTGTTTTTTTAAAGTGCCCTTAGGAGTCACTAATTGAAAGGTTTGTGTTTCATATCCACCCAGTGGCTCTGTGAGAGCAAGACCTGGCGATCTCTTCTCATAAAAAGGGCAACCAGAAAACCCTTCAAGGATTTCTATTCTACCTTAAGGGGTAATGACAAGTTGGAATTGAGCTCTGGTGGCCTAACGGGTTTGAATCCACCAGCTACTCCATGGGAGAAAGATTGGCAGTCAGTTCCCATGTGATTTACGGACTCTGAAAACCTGTTGGGGGGGTCAGCTATGGGTTTGTTCCAACTCGTTGGTGTATAATAATAAGTAAAAAGTGCTGAGTGGTACTAGGAGCCCTTCAAGTTAGTCACTTGGGGCATTGGTGGGGATGGGGGCTCCTCAGATCCTATCCACAGCCCCAAAATTCCCTCCACAGCACCGCCTCAGATCTCCTCACACGTCTCTGGCCTATCTGATGACTGCACCCCAAATAGTTCTCCTTGAAGGCAGCCTGGACCATCTCTGGGGTTCAGGAATGTCAAGCTCTAATCCTGTCCCTGCAATCATGTGGGATGTGGGCCTCACAGGCCTTTTGGGGGTCCATCTCCATTTCCTTTTCACCCTGAGGCTGAAGCTGGATGGAAAGATGTTTATTCCCATTGACCAGGCAGGCCCCACTGCCTGATGAGTAGGTATCAGGTTTGGGGTTCCCCAGGCCCCTCCCACTGGTCAGTGAGTCAGGGTAGATTCACTCACTTCCCTTGCTCCAGTGTCAGCCCACCCCCAGCTCCTTACGTGAGGGGCGGTGAGGAGAGGAGAGGTGGAGATGGCCGTGGAGGAGCGGGCCATGGGCTGGATGGGGCTGGAGGGCGGCAGAGAGCGGGGACTCTGTGAGCTGTCGCTGTCACTGCTGTGGCTGCTGGGGGGCGTTGGTGGCATCTGTACCAGGTCCTCTGGGGAGAGCAGTGGAGACCTGGTTAATAGCGTGAAGCCCCAGCTTGGACTTGGCAGTTTAGCATGAATCTGCCCTGATGGAGCACTTGGCTTTGACCTTGCTGTAACACCAATGCCCTCCTGTGGGGTGAGCAAGATGACTGACATCCCAGAAGCCACCATCTCTGACACCACAGACACCTGGCTCCCATAAGCTTCGTTGCTGGCTTGGATACCACAATCTTGGGGTCCCTCCTTTACCTCTGTCTTTAAGCCTTCACACACAACCCTCCCCCAAGCTTGGACAGTATCAGGAATGACTGTGGTCATTAACCAAAACTGGAACCATGGCATTAAGGCAGTAAGCAGTTCCATTCTTCCTTCCACTCCAAAGTGTTCTGCTATCACCACCCCAGGGCTTCTATTTTTAATTTCAAGGGCAGAGGACCCCAGTGTTGGGCTCTTGGCAGGCCAGCCAGAAACACTGTTCTACTAATCTGATTGTGTCTGAACCTAACAGGTGGTTGAGAAGAGGTGCCAGAGAGACCTGGACAGAAGACTCAGTGCAAGGTGAGCTCCCAGGGCAGCACAGAACGGCTGAGAACCTGAAGCACTACTTCCCCCAGGAGGCAACCTTGTGCCGAGCCTAGAAGGATGTGGTGGTGCCTTCCCAGACTTCCCTGCTTAAGTGGGCACGTGTAAGGAGAAAGATGGGACAGAGTGAGGCAGTAGGGATGCTGGTTGCCTGGGACTAGAGAGGTGAAGAGCCCCTCCCCTGGATGCACTTACCTGGTGTCACTTTGAGGAACTGGTTCACCTCCTGGGGCTCCGCTTTGATCACTGGCAGCTGTGTCATCTCTCCTGGGGCCTGAGGAAGAGAAATCCAGCTCCATCAGCTGCCTCCTGGGGCTGCCGCTACCAGATCATTCACTTCATCTCCTTCCCTGAGGCTAGCAGTCTGCCCTGCTCACAGCTGGGTTGTGGGCTCAAGTGCTTGGATAAGCCAAAGCATGACTAACAGATTAGAAGGGAAGGGTGGCCAGGTAGTGCAGCTTAAAGGAGAGCTGCCCGTGGTTCCAAGGACAGGGTCATCCTCCTGTGGATGCTGGTTCTGCACTGTGAAGACCAGGTAAGCCTTGATATGCAGGAAGATAAGATGCAGTGTTTTAACTCATATTCATTGCTCGCAGATTGGTAACAATAGAATGGTAATGAGTCTTGTAATAAATAGTAATCGTGGTAACAGAAGAAGGAGGCATTAACTGGCACTATGCGCCCTGAGCAATTGAAGTCTGAATAGGAGCATTGCAGATGAAGGATGAAGCAGGCAGTGACTGAGAGCAGAGGATTCCAAGAGGAGATAAGTGCATCTGCAAAGGCAGAGACAGAAGGCACATCTGGAGATTAGAGGTCAGTGCATCCAGCGTTTAGAGCTGTGTGCTGGAGGCAGAGCGTTGGGAAAGGAAACCAGGGGATTCTAATGGTCCCCTGGGCAGGGGCTGATTATAAACAAGGGCATGTGAGGCCATAAGGAATTCTTAGTTGGTATGAAGGAAGGAGCTGTTGGAATGACACTAACACTTTAACATGATGTATGTCTATTCACTTATATCATAGCTTGTTCTTGAAAAGACTTCAGGAATGCATATGACTTCACACATGATAGGACTAGCAAATGTATCAGTGGTGTTCTCTGAGCAACTGGTCTGTAGCCAGCAGAGAGCGGCCAGTGTATTGTAGGTGGGACATCAGAGTCCCAAATTTAGGTAAGAGTCATGGAAAGGTCAAGTTGGAAGGGAACTTGGGAGCTACAGACCTTTATCCAGCACTGCCCAGGGACAGATGAAGGGACTAAGATATAGAATGGTGACAACCCTTGGATGTTTCTGACACAGTGCTAACACTTGTTTCCCATGTTTTGTACGAGGTTGTTGTGGTTTCACTAGAATGTAGGCTTTTGGACGCTAGTGGGCTGAGCCAGGGTCGCAATGCTGCTGCTCCTGCCCATGTGATTTTGGCTGAGATGACCGACCTGAGCCTAGTTTCCTTATCTGAGGCACACACTCAACCTCCCACACCTGAGGAGTCAATGAGCCACGTCAGGAGATGCTGCCAGAAGATCCTGCACATCTATAGCCATTTCTTGATCATTTAGGTCAGTAAAGGGGTCGAGAGGGGCTGACCTTTCTGGCCACATCAAGTTTGATCAGGTGAGCTGTGTGGCCAGCAGAGGGCAGAGGCAGCCACTTTCTCTATCTCTAGGGTGTAGGATCACAGTATAGGGTTAGGAACACTTTAGAAGTGGCACCAAAACCAAACCCAAACTTGCTGTCATTGAGCTGATTCTGATTCACAGCGACTCTACAGGCCTGAGTAGAATATCACTCCACAGGATTTCCCAGGCTGTACATTTTGACTGAAGCAAATGGTCTCATCTTTCTATCACAGAATACCTGGTGGGTTTGACCAACCACTCTCCCATTTTACAGAGAAAGCTGAGGTAGGAAGAGAATAGAGACAACATCCTCAGAGCACAAGTGAGGAACTTCCTCAGGGACCAGGGGTCTGGACCTCATAGTTCCAGAATTTAGGCATCAAGTTGAGGTTTGTAGCTGAACATGATCCATGCATTCATCAGGGGGAGGATTTGGCCTAAGAGCATTGGTTAAAAATATTCTCACCATTGGACTGATTGGCAGCATCGTGATGGATGGTGAAGAGAGTGAGATTGTAAACAGTTTGTCTTTTTTTTTTTTGCTTGGCTCCACAATCAACACTCTTGGCATCAGCAGCCAGGAAATAAAAAGACATATTACATTGGGACAGTCTGCTGTCAGAGACCTCTCCAAAGTACTGAAGAGCAATGTGATATCAGTCTGGAGACTAAGGTCCACTTGATACAGGCCATGGTTTTTGCAATCACTTGCTATGCATCAGAGTTGGACAATGACTAGAGATGATAAAAGGAGAATTGATGCCTTTGAACTGTCGTGCTGGAAAAGAGTATTGATTATACCATGGACTGCTAAAAGAATGAACAGGTTCATCCTGGAGAGGATTAAATGAGGCTGCTCCTTGGAGGCAAGGATTCTGAAGCTTCAGCTGACACACTTTGGACGTGTTGCAAGGAGGGACCAGTCCTTGGAGAGGGACATCATGCTTGGGAGGGTGGAGGGACAGCGCAGGAAAGGAAGACCCTCAATGAAATTAATTGATTCAGTGACTGGAGTAATTGGGGGTAGGTGTGTCGGAGACAGTAAGATCGGCACAGTATAGAGCAGGGTTTAGGGTTGTTGTACATAGCATCACAGGCGACTTGACAGCACATAACAACAACATAAATGTAAACAGAAATAGAGTCTAATTTTTCAAATTCTATTTTGAGCTTTATTCAAAATCCTGAAGCTTTGAGAAAACTAAGTGGTCTGAGCTCTTTCCATGGCTGAAAAGCCTCAATTCTACTCATTGCAAGCTTTTCTTCTGCACACAGTGAGGGCCTCCGTTTACTCTGATGGAGTTGGGATTTGTGCTCTGGCTAGGATAGTGAGGGAAGCGAGGTGGCTGTAGGATGTGAAGGGGTGGAGGGGTTGGGGGGGCTGGGTATTACCTGCCATCGAGGAGCCCCCCTGGAAGCCCCGCCCTTAGTCTTGAGACTAACATTGGCTTTACTCATAGACCTGGAGCTGATACTAGCTCTGCCCTCAGTCCTGAGACTGACATTGACCCCGCCTCCACTCTTGGGACTGACATTGGCCCCGCCCCTAAACCTAGAGATGCTATAGGCTCTGCCCTCAGGCCTGTGGCTAATATTGGCTCCGCCCATAGTACTATAACTCTTGACCCCACCTCCAGTCCTGCAACTGACACTGGCCCCACCCTCAGTGCCCTAACATTGGCCCCGCCCCTAAACCTAGGGATGCTATTGGCTCTGCCATCAGAACTGAGGCCAACATTGGCTCCGCCCACAGCACTGAGACGAACATTGGCCCCGCCCCCATCCTGGACTGCCATTGCTCTTTGTTCAGAGTCTTGAGACGAACAGGTTCTTGGATAGTTCTTCCCATCCTTGACCTACCATACTTCTTCCCTCCCCCGCCCCAACAAATAGTCCCCAGGCTCACCTGATGAGGGACAGGCAGCCTGGACAGAGGGCTGAGGCCCAGCAGCGGGGTGGTAGCCATGGCGGCAGCGGGGGCCATAGCTGAAGAGGCGGCCAGAGGGTCCATGGGCAGCTCCGGGCTCTGCTCCTGCTTCACCAGGACGGAGCACAGTTTGTGCCCCAGCGCCCACGCTCCATGCTCCATGTCTGGGGGGAGGGGCAGGACCCAGGCTCAGGGACTCCCTGGAGCAGAAGGCTCAAACCCCTCCGGCCCCAGAAGCTTTTCTGGACTGGACACTGGACAGGTGTTGGGGTGCACCAGCAAGGGGACAGGAAAGGACAAAGGGCCGCTTATGAGGCGGGCAGGTGAGGGCATTCATTTACTTCAACAGCTTACGCTTGGTCAACAGACCTAGACCCCTCTGACTGACTGGGTATGCCTAGACAAGTTGCTGAATTTCTCTGAGACTTATACTTAGTTCTTCACATAGAAAGTGAGAAAAGGGACCAACCAACCAGCTACTGTGGACTGAATTCGGGTGAACAGTGTGTCCACAGGGTTTTCAATGGCTGGGTTTTTTTGAAAAACGAGTCCAGGTTTTTCTTCTGAGGTACTTCTGGGTGTACTAGAACCTCTCACCTTTTGACTTGAAGCCCAATATGTTAACGGTTTGTACCACCCGAGAGTCTAGAAGATAAATCAAAATAATACAAACTCAAACAAAAAACGTAAACCCACTACCATCAAGTGAATTTTAACTCCAAGCGGCCCTCACTTAGGTTTCCAGGGAGGTCTGGTGTCCTAGTGGTCAGGAGTTGCACCACCAACCCAGTCTGCTCCTGTGTGATCTACAGCCTCGGAAAATCCACTTGAGGATCAGCTGTGAGTTAATTCTGACTTTATGGCTCATAAAAACAACAACATCAGGTTTCCAGGATTGGTGGACTCGAACCACCAACCTTTGGGCTAGCAGCCCAAATCACAATGTGTGCAATCCTCATCCCCATCAGCTCTGTTCTCAGAGGTCCTTACATGCAGACAGGAATGTGGGGAAAGGGGAGCATATAGTAAGGAGCTGGACGGGCTTTAGGAACCCACTGTGGGTGGAGAGAAGGGTCAGAGGCTTGGCTGCCTGAACCTGCTTTGGAGGCCAGGCCCCACCCAGCCTGGGAGCCTTCGTGCCCAACTGTGGGCCACAGGCCGTCTCTGGGTTCCAGGAATACCCACTATCTTCCCAAATTATAGGACCAGGCCACTGGCCTCCGGGAAGCTGCCCCCTGCAAAGGGCCCACAGACAAATTGCTTTAAAAATAGATTTGGGGTGGCCAGAGAGGAGCAGCTGGGCTGGCCTGGAGGGGATCTACCCCATATCCCCACCCTTCCTCACGGGGAGGCCCCTAGAAGCTTGGCTGAGATCTAAGCACTGAGGTATGGCAGCTGCAAGCCCTGGAGCCACTGAAAAACCCAGAAGATGTCCTTGCCCCATCAGGGGTGAGACCAAGTCCTGTCTTGGCCTCTGCAGAATCTCAGAGAATCTAGAAACAGTTCACATTCTTGTGCAAAGCCCTCGACACATAATTACCATATTTCCTCCTCCCAACAACCCCTTGGGGCACGTACAGTTATTCTCCCCATTTTATGGATGAGAAAACCAAGAACTTGCTCAAGATCATTGTCCCCTGGAGGGGGAAAGAGGAAGAAACATCATCTTCATTGTTTTAACCATTCATAGCATTAACAGGGTTTTTAGATGCACAATGAAAATGTTCTTATATGCCATCTAGTCTTGACCCTTGATGACAGGGCAGTGCTGTCTCATAGTTTCCCAGGCTGTGGTTTGTATGGCAGCAGATGGGTGGGTCTTTTCTCCCTCAGAGCAAATGGGGTGGTTTGAACCACTGACCTTTCAGTTAGCAATGGAGTGCTTAACTGTTTCAATACCAGGGCTCTTTACAATGAAAATAATCATGTAGTATTATTTTTAAAATTTTTAAGTCATTAAAAAATTGTGCATATTTAGTCCTCAGCTCCATGTCAGGAATGTAACATGTATCAACATGAAAACAGACACTAATTGTTGATGTGCGTTTTGTGCTGGGCACTGAGCTGGGTACCACACATATAAAAGTTTTAAACCTGACCTGAACTCTCAAAAGTACATAGCATTATGCACACCATGTTTAGTGCTGCTTTGTTCACAACAGCAAAGAATTGGAAACATCCCAAGTGCCCATCAACAAATGACTAGAGAAACCATAGTATATTCTAACAATGGAATATTATGCAGCACTGAAAAACAAAGAACTCATGAAATATTATACAAAATAGGTGTCCATGGAGGACATTATGCTGAGTGAAATATCTCAGTCACAAAAAGACAAATACTGCATAATGCCAATGGTACAGAACACGACTGATATGGAGGCTGGGGGGAAACTAAGAAAAGAGGAGATAAATAATGTACACAGCATTGAAACAGATGAGGGAGAGAACTGTATAAAAGGAATAAGAGTTGCATAGTAAAGTGATCCAGGCAGGGGTACAGGACAGTATAACAGTGAAAGAAGTTTTTTTTCCAAAGAAAAAAGTGAACTGGGGTGGGGGGGGGGGGGTGGGGGGGTGAGGCAGGGAGAGTGGACAGAGAGGAAAATGTGCAACAATGAATGAATGGAAATCCAAGTTCTTTATAAACTTTCATTAAAATAAAAAAAAATTTTAAAAGTGCCTAGTATTGTGATTTTGTAGTTGGGGAAATATAAGCTCAGAGAGGTTAAATAACTTGCCTAAGTCACACAGCAGCCAGTGGAGGCAACAGGATATACACTAAGGCTAGTTCCCTTGCTGCCCATTGAAGTTGGTGAAATGAGGCCAAAGCAAGGGTGTGAGATTTCTAATCAAGGGTTTATATCAATCCCACATTTCTGTTCTGCCTTTTACTGTAACCTAGACAACTCAGTTTTCCTAAGCCTCTTTTTTTAAGAAATTGTTCAACAGGTGATTACAACAGAAAATTAGTGTCACTTTTTGCCTGTTGTGTGAAATAAATGACATCATTAACTTGAAGATGCTTTGCCAGCTGGGTGGTGCTATAGAAATGCTTATTATTCCTGTTTGTTGATAAGAATTGGAGGCTTACAGAGGCCACGAGGGCTGTCCATGTCAAAATGATGGAGCTGAGACCATGTGTATTTGAGGAAATGCCCCAGCGGTCATTTCTAGGTGGAAATAGTCTGGAGTTCTTGAAAACTGATAACCTGAGAAGTAGGACTCAGTGTGTCCTTTGCTTTAAAGTGGGAAGGGGCTGGTGGAAAGGAGTGCTTTGGGGTACCTCATTTTCAGGAATAAAAGCATAGTGCAAAGGTCTCCTCCCAAACTCCAATAGCCTCTTAGAGGGCATCACAATGAGAGGCAGTAAGATTTTGGAGTTGTAACTTGTCCACATTTATGATTTTACCACCTAAACTGCTCCCTCTGTGTCAGTGGCTCTCAGACTTGAGATGCCTCTGGATCACCTGGAAGGTTGGGCCTCCCCATCAGGCTCCTTTGCTAAGTTGTGGGGGAGGATGTGAGAATTAGCATTTTTGACAAGTTCCAGGTGATGCTGATTCTGCTGGTCTGGGTACCACCTGATGCCTCTGACTTATGTCATCAGTGAAGACCTTTTAGAGAAGTGTTTATTATACGGGTCTGGTTTTGGGGATCTTAAAAAGTCGGAGAGCAGCACCCCATGAAAGGAGTTTGTAAATGATGACTCATTTGAGGGCCTCTCAGAGTCTCAGCATGTAGGTTCCCCACTGTAGCCCCTCTAAACCCTTCCTTCCTGGATATCTGGACTGAGCCGTCACTGGGCCCTTCCTACCTCTTACCTTGGGTGGTGTCCTCCATCTTGATGGGCACGAGGGGACTCTGAGGTGCGGAGTCACCGCTCAGAGAGTAGCTGTGCTCAGCCTGGATGCCCGGGGTGGGAGAATCCAATTCCATGTCCAAGAGGGGACTCTTCTCGTCCAGCACAGGATCATCAAAGAAGCTACTGAACAGGTCATTGGAGAAGTCTTCCATGTTCTCGGCAAAGTGGTCCAGGTGCTCAGGAAAGTGCTAAGGAAGGGGGAAGGGAGAAGAGGGGATTCACATGAACTTGGGAAGGGGAGTGCTGTGGCAGCACTATCACTGCTGAGGTCACTGTGCTCTCATTGCAACCTTCCCCTTACTGGTCCCACCAGCACTGCAACATCATTATTATAAATTATTATTATTGTCATTACTTTTCTCATCACCATGACCCACATCACCACCACTCCACCACTGGTACAACCCCCAATCCTGATACCATCACACCACCGTGTTATCACTGTCATCACTGTTACTTCCACCACGTGGTTCACCACTGGTACAACCCCAAGTATCTTCACCAGCCCTGATATTGTCACCATCATCCCCACTGTCAGCACCACGACCTTTGTCCCATGTCCCACCATTGCCACAACCTTCAATACCAACACTAGCCCTGTTAGCATCCCACTTCCATTAATACTGGTCCATCACCATTCATTCCTCCACAGTCCTCATTGGACACCTCTGCTACCATCACCACCATTATCATTCCAGATGAGCTTTGGAGGGGGTGGAAGAGTTCCTGGGCTGGACAGCAGGACATGGGTTCTGATTCTGGCTCAAGGAACCTTCTTCAGATAATTTAACCTGCCTGAGTCTGTTCCTAGTTAGCTCTGCTTTCTTCATAGACTTGCTGTGAAGATAAAGTAAAAGAATTTCTGAATGTCTCTGCTGGTGAGTTTGCATTCCAATGGCAAAGATAGTGACCTTTATGTTATCTGGTGCTGGGACGCAGGGAAGACAGGATGCCTCTGCTCTCCTTATTTGCACAGGCCCAATCTTGGATGTCCCTATCTTCCCTTTCCCAGCCATTCTTCATGCCAAGAGATTAGGCTCTGGAGCCTGTTGCTTGGGTTTGAATCCTGGCCTTGACACTTCGAGCTATGACTCAGTGCCGTGCAGACTGTGGGTGGTGACTCATTTGGGTTGTGAAATCAATTTAGTGGGTCACGACCAGGATTTAAGCAAAAATAAAACAGAGCAAAATAGAGCAGAAAATAACAGTGTGTACCACACATAGTAAAGTACTGTCTTCTGAATTAATCTTTGTGTGTGTGTTGCTAATGAAATGAAATGTATTTCTTATAATAAAAAAAGCCTAAAAGATTCTGGACTCTGTGATCTTGGAAATGTGAATTAACTTGTTTTTCACTGCCTCCTTCCTCGTGCAGTAGAATAACACTTTTTACCTGTTAGGATTGTTGTGAAGATTAAACAAATGAACATGGGTAAACATAACAAGGAATAGTCCCTGGCACACGATAATCACACAATAAAAGTTACCTATTAAGATAAACAAGACACTCCAGTGGCTAGCACATAGTTGTTCTTGTTTTTGTTGTTGTTAGAGGCCGTCATGTTGCATACTCATAGTGACCCTCTGAAGAGCCAACCTGAACCCTGCCCTATCTTTTGCCATCCTTATTATTTCTGACACCCCAAGCTCATTGCGGAAGTCACTGTGTCAATCCATCTCATTGGAGGTCTTCCTCTCCGCTGGCCTTCTCATCTTTCCAAGCATGATGTCCTTTGCCTTTTCCAATGAATAGCTTTCCTTGCCTAGCTACATATCCAAAGTATGAAAGATGAAGATTTGCCATCTCTATCTCCAAGGGGCTCACTGACTGTACAGATCCTTACCACAGGACCAGCAGTCAACATCATGATAGATGGAGAAGGGATTGAAGCTGTCAATGATGCCATCTTCCTTGGATCAACAATCGTCACACTTGGTACCAGCAGCACAGAGTAGGTACTTCTGAATTCTTTTTAGTTCTCTCTCATCCCACTGCCTCTACTCCTTCAAGAATGGTGGTGATTCAGCGGTGGAGTTCTTGCCTTCCATGTGGAAGACCTGGGTTCAATTCCTGGCCAGTGCATCTTAGTGTAGCCACAGCCAGCTGTCAGTGTGTCACTAATAAGTTGAATAGGTGTTGGTAGTTATTCTAGATTAAGACTGACTAGCTCTGGTCAAGGACTGCAGCCTACAATACGGATTGAGGCTCAATGTCAAGAAGACAAAGATTCTCACCACTGGACCAATTGGCAACATCAGGATGGATGGTGAAGAGATTGAGATTGTACACAACTTTAGTTTGCTTGGCTCCACAGTCAACACTCTTGGCACCAGTAGCCAGGAAATTAAAAGGCACATTGCCATGGGAAAGTCTGCTGTTAGGGACCTCTCCAAAGTACTGAAGAGCAATGGTGTCTCTCTGGAAACTAAGGTGCATCTGATACAGGCCATGGTCTTTGCAATCACTTGTTATGAATCAGAGAGTTGGACAATGACCAAAGAGGATAGGAGGAGAATTGATGCCTTTGAGCTGTGGTGCTGGAGAAGAGTATTGAGAATACCATGGACTGCTAGGAAAACAAACAGATTCGTCCTAGAAAGGGTTAAATGGGGTAGCTCCTTGGAGGCAAGGATTCTGAGTCTCCATCTAACATACTTTGGACATGTTGTGAGGAGAGACCGGTCCTTGGAGAAGGACATCATGCTTGGGAGGGTGGAGGGACAGCACAGGAGGGGAAGGCCCTCTATGAGGTGGATTGATTCAGTGACTGGGATAATTGGGATGGGAGTGTCAGAGACAGTGCAATTGGCACAGGACAGAGCAGAGTTTAGGGCTGTTGTACATAGGGTCTCTACGAGTTGCAAGCGACTCGATGGCACATAACATAACAACAGCTCTGGTGGTGTAGTCTGTACCCAAAAGGCAGCACACTTTCAGCACCTCAGATCCTCAAGCAACTCTGAGGGAGAAAGATACGGAGTGTCTTTCTGTTAAGGTTTGTAGCCTCAGAAATCCAAAGGAGGGTCACTGGGAGCCAAAACCAACCCAGCAGCACTAAGTTCACATTTTGGATCTGAGAGCATAGAGCATTGGAGCTTTGGTCATAAAAGCAGCATTTATGTGTTTAAGGATAAAACTCAGAAGGCAGAGAGAGGTTGGATATAAGGAATAATGAAGATGAAAATGACAGGAAGTGGAGGGAAATGCAATGACATTGTGGGTGATGAATTAGTGTAAAAAATGTGAATAACTGTTGAACAAAAAACCAAGTTGTTTTATAAACTTTCATGCAAACCACCACAACAACAGCAATAATAACAAAGGCTAGGGAGAAAGGCCTGGTGATTGTGATCTACAAAAAAACCCCAGCCAATGAAAACCTCATGGATCACAATGGTCTGGTCTTATTGTGCAGTGGGTCCAGGTTGGTATGATAAGAAGGTAAGAGAGGTTAACAACAAAAGAATGTCACTGTTGATTGAAATGAAAAAGTGAAGGAGGAGTCCCTTCCCACCCTGGAGCCCCACCTGGAATTACCGCTTGAATTGTCTCCTAGTCTGGAGGGAGCTGCAGGCCTTCCTGATGGGGAATATTAGGAACCTGTCCAGATGAGAAATCCTGGTGGCACCACGAGCAAAGAAGCAGCAGAGAATTCAGAATGTGTGAGGCCAAAGATCCCTGTGCCACTCAAGCAGCAGCAACAGCCGCTGCAGCGAAGAACTAGAGACTTGACATGAGACAGAGCTGGCCTTGGGACCTCTACTCCACAGAGCCAGAGCTAAGATCATTCACTCAAGTTTGTTGGGGGACTTGGGGTAGACAGCCTCTGGAAAGTCTCTGAGCTTTGATAAATGCTGATGGTTGTGGAAGGGCTTCAGGCCTTTTGTTCATGGGGTTGCTATGAATCATGCTCGACTTGAAGGCAATCAACAACAACAAGAACTTTGTAACACTGGTTTAAAGCTGTACGATTGAAGGCAGAGGGGCCTGAAAGCACATTTCAGAAACTGTCCTGACTGAGTGATTGTATTCTACTACCAACCTAAATTATATCCTTTGACTTCCTTAATAAAGCTGATAAATCATGAAAATTTAAAAAATAAAATAAAGTCCTGTTGGCACTCAACAGTCCAAAGCATCTGTGGGAAGATGTGGCACTCTGCTCCTGTATGTAAACATTTACAGCCTTGGAAACTCGATGAGGCAGTTCTCCAGGTCTTCCCTGTAGGGTTGTTATGAATATGAATTGACTCAATGCCAGTGACACATTTGAGCTGTGGTGTTGGAGAAGAGCACAGAACATCTCATGGACGGTCAAGAGAATGAACAGCTTATGTCTTGAAGAGGGTGGAGCCGGAGTGCCTTTTGTATGCAAGAATCATGACGCTTCGCCTCACCTACGCTGGGCATGTTGCTAAGAAGGGCTGTTCCTTGGAGAAGGACATGATGCTGGGAAGGGTGGAGGATGAGTGAAGGAGAAGGACCCTTAACCGGGTGGACTGACATGGTGACTGCTGCAATGGGCTCTGTGTGTCAGGAAGTGTGAGGATGGTTCAGGATAGAACAGGGTTCAGATCTTCTTTATAGGGTCACTATGAGTTGTATTTGACTTGTTGGCACCTAACAACAACAACAATGCCAGTGAGATTTTTTTTTCTAGAAGGAAAGCAGAGAGAAAGGCCTTCTAACTGCAGATAAGGCTGAGAGTGTCAAGGTTGGGAGATCATTGTCCGAGTTGAACAAAGCATGGGTACAAACTCTGGAGTCAGAGAGATCTGCTTCCAACAGTTTACTTCTCTAATGGCTAATTTATTAAAACTTTCTATGCCTCAATTTCTTCATCTGGAGAGTGGGGTAAATAATAGTTCTTGAGTGTGTCAAAAACCTCAAAAATCATTGCCATCGAGTCAGAACCAACTCCTAGCTGACCCTCCACTGGGTTTTCAGAGGTGATAAATTGCACAGGAGGAGATTGCCCAGCTTTCTCCCTCAGAGCAGCTGGTAGATTTGAACCACCAGTCTTTAACATTGGCAGTGCAACTCCCTACCCACTAGGCTCCCTCATGGGCTTGTCAGGAGGACCAAGTATTTGTTAAGTGCAATGTGTATAACATTATGAGGATAAAATGAGTGAGTACACAGGAAACACTTAGAACTTAGAACCCTAGTATGGAGGGAGTGTTGTCA